TATATATATATATATATATATATATATATATATATATATATATATATTTAAATAGAAAAATATAGATGTTATTGTTTGTATTTATAGTCTGAATCTGCAAATAAAATGTCAAATAAATGTAGTGAAGTAAAAAGTACAGTATTTCTCATTGGAATGAAGTAGAAGTATGAAGTAAAATTAGCAGAGAAATAAATGTACTCAAGTAAAGTACAAGTACTGTACCTCAAAATTGTACTTAAATGCAGTACTTGAGTAGATGTAGCCTACTTGGCATCACTACACTGGGTTGTACTATAGGTTTATGGTGAAGTTAAGCTCACGGGTCAGGTGTGAGGGGTGTGGAGTTGAATGTAAAAGTTTAAACTAAAGACTGATACGCCTTCCATTTCTCAGTTAACGTCGTCCTTCACCTTCCAGCTGAGCCAACGCGTCCAGCTCGTCGGCGAACTGGTCGTCGAAGTCGTCCTGTATCCCGTACATTTCGTCATATTCGTCCATGTCGGCTCGGACAGGTACACGAGACAAGCAGCGACACGGCAATGTGTTTAACTTGAAGACAAACACACACTCCTCTCATTAATATTTCCTTCGCGACTTCAGCAGCAGATTTGACGGAGCAGCAGACTTCCCGGCAATTGTTTTGTTGTTAAGGATCACTTCCGGGTAAAGCGATTCTTCTTCTTCTTCTTCTTCTTCTTCGTGTGAATGTTTGCAGTGTAGACGCTGCTGAGCGTGTTACTGAACTTCACAGGATACAAACTGAACTGTCGAGCTGACATTACTGACATTACTGCCGAGCCACATACAAAACACCAAAAAATCATCATTGACTGATAAATTACATACATGGAAAACCAGTCAAGACTTCTCATAACATTTAACACTTTTTTTTTCACATTTTGATATTAGTTTAGTTAGTTTACAATTCAAAATGTACAGTATACAGCAACATATGATTAAGTAGTCTGGGGGGCCGTTCTGGCTCAGTTTTCCCCTGAGAGAGAGAGCGAGAGAGAGAGAGAGAAAGAGAGAGAAAGGCTGAGACAGAGATGCACTTCCTCCTAAAATGTGAAACATTCAATAAACATGTACTTTAAAAAATTCAAACTCTGTAATTTCAGATTTTAAAGAATTTAGTGACATCTCAAAATTAAAAATACTCCTAGGAGAAGGAGATGGGGCATCTCTTGCTACCCAATATCTATTAACATACCAGGACCTGAGGGACAGTGAGTGACCTACACTCACACACACACTCACACACACACACACACATACACACACACTATATTTATATAATTCATTATCAATCTAGACGTTATATTAATGTTATTGTATGTTTAATTTTTTTTGATGCTTTGGCAATACTGTTTCTAAACTTTCATGCCAATAAAGCCAAATTGAATTGAATTGAATTGAATTGAGAGAAAGAGAGAGAAAGAAAGAGAGAGAGAGAGCTGGTGTATTCATATTTATACTGCTGTCTACTTGTACTTATACCTTCACTTTATATTTTGGTGACTGCTGCACATGCTCATATTGTATACCGTAGTGCATCCATATCTTCCTCTCACTGTTTTGTTTTTTTACTTATAAAAGTTTTTGTTTCACACGAACCCTTTGTTCATCTTAAGCTTTTTTTTAAGAAAGAGAGAGAGATTAATGATGATGTGTGTGACATCAGGATGTCTCCATCGCCACCATCTGCTCCTCACAGCAAACACACACTGGCCAGCAGTTTGTGTGTGACACTGAGTTAATTTCACGTCAGGAAGCACGAAAACAAAGTTAACTGTTTCTGTCTTTTCCTCTCTGACTAATCACTCAGGGAAAAATGTCAATATGTCTTAAAAGTAAAAAAAAAAAAAAAGAAAGTATATTCAAATCAAAGAAGTCACACTTCTCTAGTTCTTCATCATTCATCATGGTGGTATCTAAGGAGGTTTCCAGTAAATTAAATATGGAGATTTAACATTTTTTATCATAATGAAATATATAGTTGAAAAAATAAGTAATCGGAAAAGTTAGTTGTGATATTATATCTGTATGTCTTGAATAGTCATACATCTTTTCTTCTCATCATGTTTAATCAATTAATAGTAAATGTGGTATATAATAAAACAGTAATATGCAGTAATATGATATATAATAAATCTATTTTTTATATATGCTATACCTTGCAGACTCTGCTGCTACTAATCACATCTTATTTTATTTTAAAAATATGATAGCAATGTGTACACTTATGTAGTATTTATAGTGATTTATAAGTGATGTAAAAGTCGCACGACTATTAGGAAGGATGTATTTTACAGTGACATTTAAAACTTAAAACCTTTAATACTAACTTCTCCAGCTCAGGAGATTTCCCCACCTGGTTATTGGTATTTCCAAATGTTTCTCAAGCTTAAATTCCATGCATCATTTCTCAGTAGGGCTGTTGTAATATGTCCAACAAGTAAATACAGGGAAGATCCCAGAGTACATGCAGTCAAATTAAGCAAATAAAGCTTAGATTCTCATCCAAAAATATCAAAGAATATGTATAAAATCTTGGATTATATTATAGGATTTATTTCTAAAACATCATTATCATAAGCCAATAATGGAAATCCACAATGGATCTATCCCAGAACATGTAATCATGTGAAGAAATGTCTCTTAAAAAATCGCCCACACTAATTTTTGAGTAAGATTGGGTGTCATTTCAAGCTGTCTGAGTAAAAACTTTTATAGTGACTGATTCCTAAAAGTTACTGAATGAAACTATAAACAGTTAAGAAACTGTTTAACTGTTTCTCTTACACACACACACACACACACTTTCACAGACCCTACTAAGCACTTACCAGCAGATGTTTGTGTGTTAAAAATGCTAATGATTGTATACTTGTCATCGCCAATGATTGACCATCTGTGTGTGTGTGTTCGTGTGAGTTTGTGTGCATCAGCGTGGACTCTAGTCCACAAGAGCATCTGCTGTACTCCACTGCTCACCCACGCCATGCACTCCATTATCCCCTAGCACAGCATGTGTGTCAGCACTGAAGGTGCCACATTAAGGTGATGTGTTTAATCATCAATTCAACCAAAGGACTGCCCCCTTCACACGTACAAGAAACACGAAACACTCACTTTCTGTAACGGCGAGGTCAGCTCGTGGTTCAGCCGAGACAAGACTTCTACCAAGGGCCGGAGTGTGTGTGCTTGACTGTGCGTGTGTGTGTGTGTGTTAATGCCAGTAAGCTTTGTGTTGAAGGGGAAGTGAGCCGCGTCTGTTGGTTTCCAAAATTTTTAGGGAGTGTAATGTGTTCATCTTTGTGTTTAGGGTGTTTGCAGAGCAGGTCGACAGTGTCTGATTGTGAGAGGCAGTTAATGAGAGTGACTGCACAGGTGTAATTCGACAGGTGTGTGTGTGTGTGCATGTGTGGTAATACAAGAAGTGGGGTTTTGGTGTATTTTTAAGTGTGTGTGTGTGCATTGCTGTGAACATTGAGGATGTCAAACTCCACCACCAACTTCTACGCCCTGACTCAGTCCTTCAGCTCCTCTGACATTATTGTCATAGTAACCTACTTTCTTCTTAACATCGCTGTCGGCATCTGGGTGAGATATCTGTGGTGTATATATACATATGTGTGTGTATGTGTGATGTGTGTGTATGTCTGTGTGCGTGTGACATGTTCTGGATGCTCGAGTGTAACAGTTTTCTCTGTCAGTCATCATGCAGGGTGAGCAGGAATACTCTGAGTGGATATTTCTTGGCTGGACGGGACATGGCGTGGTGGCCGGTGAGTGTGTGTGTGTGTGTGTGTGTGTGTGTGTGTGTGTGTGTGTGTCGTGATCTGCTCTGTAACATCTCGCTTTTTCTGATTAAAAAAAAAAATCTGATCTGCAAATATCAGTAAGATTTGATATTATTGCAAATAAATTGGTGGGTTGTGCTTGGCAGATTTAGCCAAAATATATATTGATCCTGTATACCTGAAGTGTAATTTGTGGATTGGTTCAGACTGAAATATTGTACATTTTATTCCATGTATTTATCTGACAGATAGTTGCTTTTCAAATTAAGACTTTACATTAAAAACAAATGATAAACTTATAAAATACAACACATTGATAAAGATTAAATTAGCTGTTCCCAGCCTTTTGGGGTCGTGACCTCTTACAAAAAGAAGCAATATCTGGTCGGGGTCTCTTATGGTGAGTCTGAGATTTTAGCAGCTCCTCTAAATTCCTCAGTTTCATTTAAATAAAAGACCCAAAAAGACCCAAAATGGGTGAAAGAGAAAAGTCCAACAAATGAATACAAATGTGTGTATCAGATGCATTAATCTTGTAAACCACTGGACTGAACTAACTCTAAATAATGCAGTTAAAATTAGCTCCACCCCAACTAGCCACAACAGTAAAATGCAATTTTTGCATTGATGCATCAGCCTTAACAACAATATGATAGTATATTATCAATCTTTCTGCAAAACAAGTACTTTTACTTTTTAAAGTGCCGTTTAAGTAAGCTTATCTATGCAGGACTTTTACATGTAAAAGAGTATTTTTTAAATTGCTGTATTGCTACTTTTATTTGAAATATCTCACCGGTATGCGCAGATTGGAGCGTCCCTCTTTGCCAGTTCAGAAGGCTCAGGTTTGTTTATTGGTCTGGCTGGTACCGGAGCTGCTGGAGGCATCGCTGTCACGGGTTTTGAATGGAACGTGAGTAGACAAACACACGCACACATCTTTCCACTCAACAAAACACTATGTGACGCTCCTCTATCTATTAATACTAAATAAACACAATATAGATGGAATGAAGCAGAGCTAGCCTGCTAATCCATGTGCATGTTATTTCTTTTGTATTACAGTAATAGGGTTGACTAGATAAACAACATACCGCTCCAAGAACTAATCTCCCATTTGAAGCTGAAAAGAAATCAGTTAAAATAAGTATTTGTAAAAGTGGGTTGTACCTAATAACCTCTCTCTAGTCTGTCCAGACCAATTTATTTTTGGCTGGTGCATTTGGGTTTTAACTTCCTTCAACAGCTGTTGCAGACAACCTGCTGCAGAGAGCGGCAGCAGAACATTTCTTATCCTTTACAACTGTATTAGGTGGTGTGCAGAACATGAGGCACACGTCAGGCAACTGTACAAAGGCTTGCACATGCAGAGCACCTACAGAGTTCAAAGATGTATCTCAGTTTTACCAGAGAGATTTATTATCTCCTGAGGCGACTCTTGTGGACAATCTGGTCAAAGCTCTGTGTCGTCTTTCCTTCTTCCTCTCAGGCCACCTATGTGTTGCTGGCTCTGGCCTGGGTATTTGTGCCTGTCTACATCTCCTCAGGGGTTAGTTTGCACACACACACACACACACACGCACAAACACACGCACAGATCTATGTCTGCTTGTTAAGGCAGGTTCAGGAGGTACCTTTAGGTGCCAAGAGTCATTCTCTTTGCCAGCATTCCCCACCTTGAAAATTCCCCAAAAGGGTGTTTCACTACACCACACACACCAAGTGTGTCATACACATGATCATACTGAGCCCCTAAGTCTCTACTGTGTAGATGTGGTGTGTTGAAGAAGTTGAAATGTGTGTGCGTGTGTGTGTGTGTTCAGATCGTGACAATGCCAGAGTACCTGGGCCGTCGTTTCGGAGGAGAGAGGATCAGAACCTACCTGGCTGTCCTCTCACTGCTATTGTCCATCTTCACAAAGATATCAGTACGACAAAGTCACGCACACAGAGGCGGCATCACACTTACTATTCGCCTGCGTTGGCTTTCCAGCATTTAACTTCGCCTGCTATGAGATTGAATCTTTGTTGTGTTTCCATCTCCAGACTGACCTGTACTCTGGAGCCTTGTTTGTTCAGGTGTGTCTGGGATGGAACCTCTACCTGTCCACTGTCCTCATGCTGGTGGTCACTGCTCTCTACACTATAGCAGGTACACAAACAACCACACACACAATTACATCTGGTGAAACTGATACATTGGGAAAAGATTCCCACAACACACACTCGTTTTTTTTCAGGTGGTCTCGCTGCTGTCATCTACACCGACACTCTACAGACATTGATCATGATTATAGGGGCAATCATCCTTACAATCACTGGTATGTACAATTACCTTCATTTATAAACCAACGCAACAACTGCAGTTATTTTTAAGGAATGTGTAGTTACAGTTGTGTGTTCCCCGTCTGCAGCCTTCAACGAGATTGGTGGCTACAGCAACCTGGAGCGTGTGTACAGCATGGCGGTGCCAAGTAACATCATTCCCAACAGTACCTGCCACCTGCCACGTGAGGACGCCATGCACCTGTTCAGAGACGCCGTCACTGGAGACCTGCCGTGGCCCGGCATGACTCTGGGGCTCACAATACTGGCCACCTGGTACTGGTGCACTGACCAGGTACATGTATGCACAAACACAGGCAAAAACAAGCAGGAACCACCACTGCTGCAGATGTTTCTTATAGTGCAGTTCCTCTAATGGCCACTAGAGCCCTAATAATAATAATGTGTTCTTTTTTTAAAAGTAGCTGTGTCTATTTAAGTTTTGGCAGTTTTTGACCTACCATCTTAAAACTGGGGAAGCCGGCATGAAGTAATATCACTGCCTCGCCTAACTGGATTCATTTGAATCCAGTGGCATATTTGGAAATTAAACAGAAAGTGAACAAGAGGGCTGTCTGTAAACTATCCATTGCATTTAAAAAAAACTGTGTTCACTCAACCACAGTAAGTAAGGTTGGTCAAAGTTGAACAAGGAAGTAGTCCCACACACAGTTTTGGTATTTCCTTTCCTTTCAGTATGACAAACTTTCCCGAAAGATTGAGATGTTAACGGCTAACTGTTAATTTACCTGAACTGGTTGAGGCAACAACAGAGCTGAGTCAGCAACAATTTGTCTTTTTATTTACAGCATTCACTTTTGGTACAACATCAGTGTAAAATTGCTTATATACCAGTTATCAACACAGTAGCCCTACCCTAACACCATCAGTAACCAATCACAGTGGTTTCAACACCAGAGCCGGAATCTTATATCAGACATAATCGGTGATGCATGTCGCAGATACACCACATCTTTGTAGGTTGGATATGGAAAAATAATATTTACAGTGAACAATTCGGAAAAAGAAAAGCAGTTGAGGTAATTAAGAAATATTTGTTCAAAGGATTGTCAACAAAACTGAAGTGCTTGAGTTGGCAGAGGGGATCTCACTAAACGCTGACTGGTTATCATCGACAAAATACACTTCCTCTTGTAGAAAGGGATCCATGCTTAAAGTTGTGGGTTTATTTCCTCCCAGGTATCAGTGTCTGCCTCTAAAATGAATTATCCCCCAGACACCAGTGACACCATCCAGTCTGAAGCCTTTAGCATGGAAACATTGATTTTGAAGGTGATGAGAATAATTGACAGACAACACCTAAAAACATATTAAATCAAACTGCCAACTCTTGTTGACATAGTCAGAAAGTCCCAATTCAATAGTTGTTGTATCTTGAGCCTCGAGGTTTGAAAACAGGAAATGACACACATGCCAGTGATAGAGAAGATTCCACACTGAAGAGTCACCACTGTCTGCATCAGCAATCGTCCTCATGTTCCTGTGCTGGCCCACAGTTCTACCTATTATTTTGAGATGCTTTCTTCTGCGATGCTCCACCTCGTGCCCTTAAGTGTCTTAAATTGCTCAGTTTTGAGAAAGATAGTCCCAGTACCCCTGATGGGTTGCCTGGCGGCTGTGCCAAGGCACCATCCGTCTTCCTGTAACCCGGGCTGTGGCGACGTGGCGACCGGCCAGAGCGTGTCTCTACGCGCAGCTGGCCCGAATCCGGCTGCAGCGCTTGACCCTGCCAGTAACGATGTCCTCCGATCACCTGGACATCAGCTCGGGCGGGGCGGTGAAAACTTCCTGGTTTGGCGATGACTACTTTAGGTGCTCTCTGTCGCGCATCATGACCTGGAGATTTGGAGGTGTGGAACAACTAGACAGAGAGAAGAAGCAGAGAGTGATGAGTATAGGACATCATGGAGTCCAGAAGAGTTGCACATGGTGTCTATTTGTGAGGTTACAGGGGACTGGAAATCCTCCACTACCCATTTCACACATGGAATACCTCAGGGATCAATCCTCGGCCCTTTACTTTTCTATTTCAGCTTCCACTTTCTGTATAAAAGCTAGATGGTCTTAAACACATAATGGGGCCCAAACAGTACATTGTCAGTGCTATGTGGGCCTCTTGAAAAATGGGGGAAATGGCTACATGGCTATGACCACAAATACGTTTTTTAAATCAACGTTTTTATCCTCTTTTGAAATATGGAAAAATATTCACAATAGCAGTTGTATCATCACAGTTTCGGTTTATTTACACAACACAGAAACTTTCCTTTTTGATCGTCATGTGAATTCTGTTGTCTGAAACTCAAAAATTTCCAAAATGAATTATTTTGCGAAGCCCGGAAACTGTAAGCCATGCTTTTATTTCATTCCGATTAGACAACAGACCAATTTAGCACCTTTACAACGTTTTAGATTGGATTTTTTGAAATTGTCACGATTGTTAAGGGATATATGGGAACTTGCTCGTGACTGTATTTCTAATCTGCTAATCCCTCTCCAAAAGACACATTATTTTAGAATTGCATTTAGTTAAATTGTTTTCATTTTGTGCTTTTACTGCATTTGTTCTTTTAATGGTATCTGGTAAATTGCATTTTATTTGAATCTATGTATATTTCATGAAACTATTAATTTCTTTGGTTTTACATCTTACTGAATAAAGTTAGTACTATTATTGTTGTTATTTGTGTTCCTCTGTGTGTAGGTGATTGTACAACGATCCCTATCTGCTAAAAACATGAGTCACGTGAAAGGAGCATCAATCCTGGCTGCTTATCTGAAGATGCTGCCCTTCATCTTCATCGTCCTCCCTGGCATGATCAGCCGAGCTCTCTATCCAGGTGCGTGCACACACGCATTTTGGAAAAGGAATGGCATGTTCACTGTGAGCAGGTAGTGGCTTGCTTTTAAACTGCTGCTGAAACGCACCCTTTTTAGTGGGATTTATGTAAACGTGTGAGAGAGTAGGACTGAACCACCTGCTTGTTCATAACAAACATTAATCCTGCGAACCTCTGCCCTTGTTTTTGTCAGTGTTTTCTCATTTAACATTTAAAATGGATGTGAAAGATTAAGACAAGCATTCAAGATATTCAATTTACAACAAAGAGAAACTGCATGTTCTCCCAGTTAAGAAGCTGAGAGTTGCATTTCTGCTTGAATTTTATGTTAGTCACTTAATTGACTAATCATTTCACCTCTACAATTAACTTTTCATCCTAAAATTAATCTGTTGATTATTTCAATTCAACTAACCACTTAATTGTTTAGTCTTTAAAATATAAGAGAACAGTTCAAAATGACATCACAATTTCCCAGACCCAGGTTTTGGATCAACAGTCTAAAAAAAATCTAAATATTTACATTGTTATGAAACAGAAAAAAACAGCAAACCCTCACATTTGACAACCTGGAATTAGCAAACACGTGGCATATTAAAAAGTTAAATTCTTGGCAAGAATTATCCGTCAACTGACTAAGCGATTAATTGAATAGTTGTGTCAAAATCAAAGGATTATAAATATTGTCCTATATAGTATAATACTATTGTATTTACTATTGTATACATCCTATATAATATAATACCTGTCCAATGTGCCTATGTGGTGACTGGTGTACTTGTCTGCGGAGCTGCTGCGATTGGCGGATGAGGTCAGTGCTGTCTTCTGATTGGCTGGGCGGCCGCAGATCCAGCATGCTCTGGGAGAAGCGTGCCATCATGTTGACCCCATCTCCTTGGCGATTCCCGCGCCCTGATCCTGTCGTCGCTCCGTTGATCAGCGGGTCACTCAGCTCCGGCTGGGAACCTTCATAAAACTCCTCCTCTGACGCTGTGGAGTTGCTTGAAGGACCGTCATTGGCTGCTCGGTCACACAAGACCTTGGTGCTGTCTTGGCTGCCCTCACCCGTGCTGCCAGAGTCCCTGCCGGCCTCCTTTGATGTTAAGCGGCCACGAACGGGCGGCAGCTCCTTGTGGGTTCCCTTTTGGTTGAAGCCCTCGAGACTTTCCAACTGGTCCATTTTCATCAAAGAGACCTGTGGTTGGCCTGGCTGCTCCGAGGTGGTGGGTTCTATGACTAACTGCAGAGTGCGGCGTTTAGGAATAGGAGGAGCTACAGTTTGAGTCTCGGGAGTTTGTTCGTCATTGTTGGTCGGCTTTGTATCGGCAGTAACATCGGATGGTGATGGTGCATTCGGTTTGTGTGTGTCTGGTGTTAAAGGTGTGTTAGGCTGCTGAGGGGGGCCACTGGAATCTGTTGCATCAGTTTGGTCTTTATTCGGAGCTGTGTGCGTTTTCTCTTCGGGTTGTTTGTTGGTTGGACTCACAGGAGTAGAGACGTCTGCACTCGTATTCCCGGAAGGATTTTCTGCTGCTGCTCCTGCAGCGTTTGCATCCCCACCTGAAGCAGGTTTCTCAGTCTGTGGTGGTTGCGTCAGTGCAGAGCTGAAGCAAATAGCCCGGCTGGTCTCAAACCTCTCCGACCTCTGTAAGTGAACCTGATTGGCCCGCTTTTCATCCCTAATGTTGATAAAACCAATCACGTCGCTTGGTGGGTCTGGCTCCGGCCAGATGGGCAGGTACGGGATCAGGTACGCTTTCTCCAGATGGGCTAATCCCGGATGTAAGGGGGGCTCTTCAATGACATTTCTGAGACGGCTTTTCGTAAACTTAAGCCCAGTGGGATTCTTGTTGCTGGAATTTTGATCAGAAGGAGTGGAACTTGTGTAGGTTCCAGTGGCAACAAGGGCATATTTGGGATTGATGAGCTTCCTAGCAATAGCAGCTGACACCGGAGCAGGAGCTGCCTGAGGGACCGGGTCGGGGATTGGTTCATCGGCCATGGGGACCTTGTTTAGAGACACACCTCTGGACACGAGGTAAAGGTCACCAAACTGCAGGTCGAAGGTCTCCACTGCCTGTCCTGTGATCACAGTGATGAGGTTACGGTCCAAACGGGACGAGGACCAGGTGAAGCTGGAGGAACAAAGACATGGAAACATGAATTCACAGCAGTGACTCCCTTATTTACACGCTTATCTGACAGGTTTTCAGATGTTTTTTCTTACTGAATTTGGTTTATGTTTGTCACGTTTAAACTCTTTCTTTTATGTCACAACTGAGAGAACCCAGCTTCTAGTTTTATCATTACACCAAATATTTGTACCCCGAGGTCACGTATGACTTTATGCTCTGTGCATGATTTCTTCACGCTTCTTTTTAACTTCAACATTATGAGAGCATAGAGATGTAATGGTGAATAATAGATAATTATAGATGATAATGACGAACCAAAAGGCTGTGTGTTGAAGGTTTATAGTTGTGGAAAATGCTGCAGCAATGCCATTGTTGCAACATGCCCGAGAAAAGGACAGTGGGTAACCCAAACTGGATTTTTTGCTCATGTGATGATGGCATATTTCAAAGTATTTTAAAAGCATTGTTTGTCAGAACATTAGACAATATTGGTGACAACTGTTGCTGTCCCTGTGTAGCATTCAGCCTATTTATCTCAGTGTTCCAGATGTTATGAAGCAATTTGGCCAACAGTTGCCTATTTACACATCCAGCAGACATGGAGCAACATTGGCATTCATTTAATTGTGTGTTTTTGGCACCCCGACAAATATTCTCTCTAACGCTAACTTTGTCTCTCTGCTGTTTGGTGCTTAGCAGGTAGCTTAATTTTGGCTTTTTAATGCTTTTATACTGAAAATTGCTGCTGAAAACTGGGTGAGAGCCGTCACACTGAACCAAAACAATAAAGTCGCGAGCCAGAAAACAAAAAAACTGTGAGCTGAAAGTTACTAAAATGCTCCTTAAAGCTCTTAATGCGCCGCCTTTCACGTGTCACAGTTATATAATCCATGTTAATACATGAATAAGGATTAGAGCAACATACTGCTCACCTGTATGAACCAGAGATGGCTTTGTCTCCATCTACCAGCAGGAACTTCTGGCTCAGTGCTCCACGCACCTTCTGTGCTGACCGTGTGAAGAACTCCACACCTCCACAGCAGCGTACGCGCAGATTCTATACATACATACACACACACACACACACACACACACACACACACACACACACACACACAAGGTTAATGCTATGTAAAGAGAGGGCTCTTGGGGATTTAGTTTTGATGGGAGGAAGGATATTGGTGAACAAAAGGGAAATAAAGGCGACAACAGAGTAGGGAGACGGGGAAAAAAACAAGAAACAGTTCTTCTTTATTAATACCACCATAACATGTTGTTGGCTGACTCTGGAGGTTGGAGCATGGACTGAATGTATGTGCACGCTTGTGCGACACACCCTGCGGTGTTTGTCTTTGACCCTGTGATAAGGGTGTGGTTCCTGGCCGAGCGTTACCTCGTGAATGTTCTGTGTGAAATCTCACAGGGGATGCTGGGCACAAGAGTCATAACAACAGCAGAGATGGCAGATAAGAAAAAAAGTTAAAAGAGAGGCCTGGCGGGTTAACGATGTGAGGAAGGAAGAAAGACAAACATGTTGCAGAAATTAAAGTGAGAGCGTGCATGGTTTATCTAATTGTCTGCAGCACAGACAGGAATGTGCTTATGGTCTTCCCCGTCCAAAACATTTCGAAAAGCCCCAATGAAACATTAAGTGTGTTCTGTCTCGAGCTAAACCAGTTCATCTCAGAGAGGCGAAGAACAACAAAGACATTCAGCCTGTGGCAAAACAACTAGCTGGTGCATGCATCTTATTAAGGCTTGCAGGCAAAAACCTGTTTCACTACGTCATTCAAATGCCCTTCTTTTTTTCCCCTTGTGTTTGTAATATACTTATTTTGGAGATGGGTCTTTAATGAAACATATTTTGTTTAAAACGTTGGAACTGGAGCATTGTAAAATAAATAGTTTTCTATTATTATATACTTATCAGGACTAGCCATCTGTCCAACTAGCTCATCCCCCAGCTTATCAAAACATCATCTGTGTGTGTCTGTGTGTGTGTGTGTGTGTGCGTGCATACCTTTAGGTGTCCACGGTGCATATCAGCTCTGGCACACATGGAAAGAAAGCAGGGGACTGAAGCCATGTCAATAATAATGTATACAGGAACTTTGCGTCTGTAGGATGCATCCAGCAGGTCTCGAAAGATATCCACGTCTGTGAACACATCCATCACCACAGCTATCGCCTACACACACGAAAACACACACAGAGGAAACCACAAAAGGCGTTAGTGTTTCCTGGGTTTGATTTGACAATATTACCCTCATTAAATCCTCATAAAAAAAGCTGTGCACTTATGAGAACTGCATCTAAAAAGTACATCAAAACTGTCAAAGACAAAGAACATGTCTGAACATAGATGTCCCATAAGGAGAGTGCTAGACACAAACGGTGCTGTGCAGACTGGTGAAGTGTCTGGACAGTGTGTGTTATGTGGGTTCAACAATACAATACTAGTGAGAACATGGTACTCTTCACACCGCGCTGTCTATGCACATTTGAACCCAGTTTAAAATTTAAAACTGCAGAACTAGGTAATTAAGCGAATAAGCTGATCTAGAAAATAGCTCTGGAAAAAGCCAGTTTGTGAACCTTGAGGTTAGAATATATAACAGATTTCAAACCAACTTTATTGTGATTATACTTGTGTACAATGAATCCTAGAAGACGTTTTAAAAACTAAAAGATAGAGAAGATAGTTTGTAATAAAAAGCAGAATAATTTGATGACGTTGGCGTGTCGTAAGCAGTGAAAAAGTATTTCACTCCACAACTGAATCAATTCATTCCAAGGTTTTTTTACTAGACTTCTATGTGTGCCTGCTCCAGGACTAACTTGAAAGTTAAAGGTTATGTACGTAGTGCTGGCATGAGAACTACTGACGTCAGAGCATTTTTATTCCACCGGCGTGGCGAGATCACACTTGTTTTATTGAAACTTCGTTGTGTGCATGTGAGAAAAGAAGGAAGCGAGACACTGGATTCAATTCAGTCCAAATTTACGCCCTTGTCAGATGATTTTTGGTAGATGTAATTTAGCCTGACGCACTGCAAAGCTGTCAGCAGGGTTTGTGGGGAAAAAACAGCAAAGGAAGTCAAACCTCTGGTTGAAACAATCCTTCTTAATCAGTCACTGATTTAGCATACTACCATGTAAACAAAAACAACTAACAAAGTAATGCAACACAAGATTATTTTCATTATGAATTAATCAACTAACAGTTTAAAACCCAAAGATATGCCGTTTACGATCACATATGACACAGAGAACTGCAAATCCTGACATTGGCGAAGCTTATAAAACGTATTTTATTTACTGTGTCAAACAAGCACTTCTTTGTAGTTTGTGGTGTTGTGGCAGTGAACTGCATTATACACTGAGCACGCAGAAACATATTGAAAACCATGATGTATTGTGGTGCATTCAATAGCACTGCAATATATACAACCTTATTTCAGTTTTTGTTGAGACTGGTTATTTGCGTGTTGACTCAGTGCTGTGGTAGCCTACATTTGCTGTGGTGTTTTGTACTTGATTGTATTATATTACGATGTGTTTTGTCCTCCACGTATACATAAATGCAGGAGCGAAATAGAAACATCTAGCAATATAACGTAATGCAATAGAACAACACAAGTGTGATCTCTGAAAACTGTTGAATCAACGCCTCTTTGACACATAAAAGTTACATAAGTTATACAAAGAGAGCATGGCCTTTGTTATTGCAGGGCTATTGTACTGGAAATTAGTGTTTTTTTTGTTTGCAGAGAACTTTAACTTCGTGTTTCTGTACTTTTCTGTCTGATCTGGTGGAGGTTCCCTCAACTTCATCAATCCCTGCATTATAAAAACATCATCATCTTCTTCACTGCCTACCCTCGTCGCTGACGCAATGCTCTTGCGCACCACCTCCTTGATGTGCGTGTGCCCCTCGGTTGGAGGCTGCGTGTACACGGCAACGCGCGTGACCCCTCGGTATGAGTTGGGCTCGGGCCAGCCGAGGTCCAGCTCCGCCACTGAGCCCTCCGACCGATCTGGCCAATACTGGAGCGACACCTCGCCGTCTTCCCCGAAGTTCCCGGACCCCGGCGTGATGTTCCCCGGCCCGGGTGTCTCTGGCTTCTGATGATGCTCGTGGCCTGGCCGGTATTCCTCCGCTGTATGTGCAATCCATTCCAGCTCCGGTTCCGAGAGGAACTCCCGCACACCCTTCTCGCGGACCAAGTCCCTGAACGCATCGCGGCCCTTGGTGACAAGCGCCTCGATCGCCAGCCGTTGATCCTCGCAGTAGAAAAACTCCGGTTTCCCCTCGCTCACGCGCCAGTTGACGTGGTGATTATCCAGACATTGGATCTGAGACAACGCCATGGCCCCGATAGATCCACGGGTCAATTAATAGTTAAGTACCAAAACCACTCTGACCCAGTTTCCACTCCTCGGTCCGAAGGGTCAAACCTCGAAAAGGTGCGATCTGTCATTCCGGTCCATAACGCGTCCGCGTGACCTGAGCTCGTGAGGTGGTAAACAGACCCCACCGGCAGCGATGGACTTTCACCTGAGGGAAATAAACCGATAGAACCGTCCCCGAGCACGGACTCTCAGATCTAAGGTTACTAACACACACACACACACACAAGCAGTCACGCACACTCAGGTGTTGATCGCACGGCGCACCTACGCGCCAGCGCCACGCCTTTCACCTGACAGGGGGCCGGAGGAATCCAGCGGCGGCCCGGTTCATGCGCTCCAGCCGCGGGGCCCGGCAGTCATGAAGGCAGGCAGCTGTCTGGGTGGATGAGTGCGTGTCTGCCAGTGAGTCAAACCTATTGGTATCACGTCGTGGAGAGAGAGACAGATAAGTAATTAATCCTCCTTTAAAAAAAAAAAAAAAAAAAAGAGTTGGAACTTGTTGGTGACTCAAGTTAACTTTTACGCTGACGAGCCACTTTTCCTCTTTTTGTCGGCTCGCCGTTTCAGCAGCTGTTCAAAGCACAAAAACACAACTGTTGAGTTCCCCGAAAGACAAAGTCGTGTCAGTAACGTGGCGCGGCGTGGCGCGTAGGAGTCTCAACTTTCACACAGTTCGAGTCCAAGTCGGTTCCTTCATTTTCCTTTTCCTCCAGACAGAAAGTTCATCGAGGTCCGGTACTTTGTGTGGACTCCCCGGTGTGTGTGAGTCTGCCTCTAGAATTTGGCAACGGAAGCTCAGTCACCGTGAACAGCTAGGCGGAATGTCCGGTAGTTGGTTCGGAAATACAGGCAGTTAACTCCACCCTCCTCCCGGAACAGAGGGGGGAACAAATCTAAATGTTCATCCCAAAACAGAAGAGTGTAATAACTAACTATGGGTCCATTGAGTTTTTATACTGTAATATAATGTACTCTTCCCTTAGAAGGTTATAGTTTAACGAGGATAATTATTCAAGTACAAGGCTAGTTTAATACTGATTTAAAAGAAAATAAGAATATAAAGGAAAACAATCTGAAGGAGGAGAATGTTATTACGTGGGTTAATTTCCTTTTTAGGTAATGCAGTGCAGATACCAAACTTGTGATTGCTGGTTAGTGACGTGTTACTGTTAAATATGCTGGATTTTTAGAGATAAAACAAATTACTCATGCATGTCTGGATCAGAGTTTATTTAAGATTAAGAGGTCAAGTTTAGGAATACCTAGAGATGCACAAAACAGACGGGTGACTTATTATGTGAGTCCACTTTTTTATCATCTAACAGATAGTTGAACTATAGAAATAAATGAAATTTAAAGAATTTAAACATCTCGTACATCTTATGAAATCACAGCTCAGCCTTCAGAGTGCAGATGTCCCATGAAAGAATGTGTATTGTTATCAGAGCAGGGTGGTATGCAGGTGTTCGTTTTGCACACGGGTTTTGTGTACATGCACGTTTGCGCACTGTGCGAGAAAAAAAAGGGGTGAAGTTACTAATAACTGTAACTGCAGCAGGATTTTGTGTAATTATACATGTACAGCTTTGTGCTTGTTTGGAGCGAAATATTGTAATTTCCAACATTATGATTGTAATAAAGGAGAACATTTTGTCATCTGTTGTACGTGAGCCATATTTAACTTCGAATAAAATTACAGAAGTTAACATAAATAATATAGTTCATTTAAATTAAAGTGCTTTTAATTTTACCCTAGATCCTTTACCTCTCTATAAGTAGAAATTAGAATTGAAACGTGAATTTTGTTACGTCTTCCACCCCTTTGTGTGAATGACTTGTGTCTTCATATTTCAGACACCGTAGGATGTGTGGATCCAGAAGAGTGTGTGCGAGTGTGTGGAGCTGAGGTGGGATGCTCCAACATCGCCTTTCCCAAACTGGTCATTGAACTCATGCCAAGTGGTGAGAAAACTGTTATTTCTAAATGTGTCGACTGCTTTGATAAGCTTCTTTTTTTTATCCACATGCATGTGTTCATCTGTGTGTCGTATTACAGGCTTGCGTGGACTCATGATAGCGGTGATGATGGCCGCTCTGATGTCATCGCTGACCTCCATCTTTAACAGCAGCTCCACACTCTTCACCATGGACATCTGGAAGAAGTATCGCCAACGGGCCTCGGAGAGAGAGCTGCTCCTGGTCGGCAGGTATACGTCACTCACAGACGGGAGGGTCAGCGGTCAGAGAACATCCGTCCTAAACCCTTGATGGTGCTAGCTGACATATGCACACTCTGAACATGCTGTGGAGGGACAACTTTTAATGTCAGGATCAAGGAAAAGAGAAGCTTAGAGGTGAAAGAGATGTATGTGTTTTGTTCCAGGATCGTGACTGTGATCTTGGTGGTGGTGAGCGTGGTGTGGATCCCCATCCTGCAGTCGGCCAACAGTGGCCAGCTGTATGTTTACATCCAGTCAGTGACGAGCTACCTCGCTCCGCCTGTCACCGCTGTGTTCACCCTGGCCATCTTCTGGAAGAGGACCAATGAGCAGGTAACACACAAACAAGTTGATTTCATTTTTTGGGGGATCCATTCATAGTTTTGTCTATAAAATTGTGTAAAATGCCCACAAAACGTTCCTATAATCACAATCCAATGAGATGTCTTTAAATTGTTAATTTTGTCTGATCAACAGTCCATAACCCAAATATATTTGATCAACACTAATTTAAAAAAAAGACAAAAATCTTCACATAAGCAGAAATGCATTTTTTCTTCAATAAATGACTCAAAAAACATTGGTGATCCATTGGTTTGGTGATTTGGTGAATCCATTAATCAACTGATCATTACAGCACTAATTACTGTCAGAAACATATAAGCACACTAGTATTTAATAATGAAAAAAACATAATTAAATCTTACTCCACAAACTCCTTCGGGGAGAACTACAACACAAGATATTGCTTTTCAACACAGGAAACATTCATTCTCACACACACCAAACTCAATTCAAAGTTTACTCCAGTCTGGACGCTAAACTACACTCATCAGAACATACTAGAGTTTAAAAGGTTTTCCTGCACTGTTTGTCCTCTCTCCCACACTGTACTGGTGTTTGTTTTTATTAGCCTCACATGGGATCCAGCTGCCAACATCTCTCGCTGCTTGGTGTGGAGCCCATGTGTTTGCGCACATGAATGTCTTTGTGTGTTACTCACTGGTTTTATGAAGTGTATTGTTTATTATTTCCTCAGCATGAGTGTGCTGCTCCTTCACTTGAATAGACGAAAGGGTTTCTGGCTGATAACAGTGTAGAAGTGAGGGAAAGTGTGATTATTAGAAGATAAAGCTTAACATAGGGAGGTAAAAGAGATAACACCGCTGTAGTAAAACTGTGTTTCAGCCAAAGGCAAATAACATTTTTGACTGCAAGTAAATACCAGTCCACTCAAGATTGAATCCCTGTTTTCTTAAGAGCACATCCTGGGTGTGTCTGCTCGCTGTGTGAACACGCTTTTAACTACTAAAATAAAAAGGATTTTCTTTCATAATGAAAGGGTTTTCCCCCTTTACACTTATATAACTATCACGACACTGAAAATGTCTAAATTGAACATTTTGCACAGTTTAAATCTATTTGCCCAGACGTCTTTTGACCTGCGAACGAACAAATCCATGCTTACTCGTCGGGGTTTGAAAATGTCACCCATTTTGTTTTGGATGTTTCCTTCTATTATGGCAAGTTAGTAGCACTGTTACACAAGAGGCAAGACCTTTTTTTATAAACACAGTAAGCATTTTGCTGTATGAAGCTTAGGTGTTGACTCATAGGGTCAAAGGGCACATCTTACCATGCAGGATGTGACACATGCTGACAAGTCTGAAACGGTAGAGAGCAGACAATACAGACTGGGAACATGACATGTATTCCTTGAACCAGAGCGCCAAATATAACTTGTAAAAATACCAATCAACCTTGTAATTAGTGTCATTACATCTAGACACACGTGGTGTCTGTATGTATGTATTCGTCTATATATCCCTTTGTATTAATCCTAGAAATTTTGGGATTAATGGTGTTTGATTTTTTAATCTATATATGAACTAAATCCTGAAAAACAGACCATTCTACAACAGTTATACAACAATAATAGCTGTTACATTTAATTATTTTTTTCCCTCATGTGGTACAATAGATCAAAGAGATAAATGGTTTGGAGTAATAAAATGGTTAGAAGGACAGGTGATTGCTTTGCGAGCTGTGACAAGGTGATTATTTTCATGTGTGGTAAGTCAAACCACACAGATCACATTCTTTGCTGAAGGTTGAACAAAGACGATGACAGAGAGTTATTTTTGTCACTGCACATGTGTGTGTGCTCAAGGGAGAAGTGACACGATGGTGACAGATTATCATGGTGGGAAAGTGAGAGTGTTACAAGACCGAACACACCCAAAATACTGAAGCATTCAGCAGCAGGATGTTCAGCATATTAATTCACATTAAGGCATGCAATGTAATCTGAGTACATGTGTGTGTGTGTGTGTGTGTGTGTTTGTGTGCACTCAGGGTGCGTTCTGGGGCCTGATGGTGGGTTTGGTGGTGGGTGTTTGTCGGATGGTGCTGGAATTTGCCTTCCCGCCTCCCAGATGTGGAATCGTGGACTCGGCACCCGAGATTCTGCGCAGCGTCCACTACCTCCATTTTGCCATTCTGCTCTGTGGACTCACTGCTATTGTTGTCACTGTAGTATCACTGCTCACACCGCCACCCAGCCACGAACAGGTGTGTTCACACAGTAAATAACAGACGTATTAGGGAAGCAATGCTTATGTGAGTATTTTGCTGTTGGTTCACCTGTAATGTTATATACTAAACATAAAAAAAGAGTTGAAACTGCGGTAAAGGAGCAGGTTTTATCTAAAGGTTGGCCTCCGTGTTATAGACAATCAAAGAGGCCAAACCTATCTATTATATCCAAAAGATCAACAATCAACCAAAGAGCAAAATCTTACAGTACAGTAGAGCTATTGTTGCACACACAAGAAAGACGCTAAATCCTAAATATTTGAAGCCATTTGTCCCATTTTACATTATTCTGAACTGTGAACTCAGAATGCAAACAGCAGCCGCTTTATTCTCATGACACATTTCAAGAGAAAATATTTAACCTCCCTTAAACACACAGACAATTAATCACAATGCTTGTTATATTGTTATATACATTAAAACATCTACAGTATCACAGCATAGGTGGTTTAGGTACATTTTGTTGCATAGACAATAGTATCCATGCTAACTGTGATGGCCCTGTGTTATCTAAGATGAAGAATTCTTATTAAGAATAAATGTCAAGAATAATCATGAATCAGGCATGGAAATAAAACTGAAGTTTACACTTCAGATTGGTCTGTCTTGCCAAAAAAGTGTGAAACATGTGAAATAGTTTGGAAATATGCTTAATTTCTTTCTTGCCGAGGGTTAGAAGAAGAGATCTATACCACTTTCATATTTGTCTGTTAAATATGAAGCTACAGCCAGCAGCTGGTTAGCTTAGCTTAACTTAGCATAAAGACTGAAAACAGAGGGAAACAGCTAGCCTGGGCCTGTCCAATGTAAAAAAAAATATCCATCTACCAGCACGTCTAAAGCTCAGCAATTAACAAGTCTTGTTTATACATTATATCTAGCTTTAGAGGTGGATGTAGGCAGATTTTGTTACCTTAGAGGCAGGCTAGCTGTTTGCCCCTGTTTCCAGTCTTTGTGCTAAGCTAAGCTAACAGGCAGCAGCTTCAGATCTTCTCACCAAACTCTCTGCAAGAAAGCGAATAATCATACTGTCAAACTGATCCTTTATGGCAGGATATTGTCAATATGGACATACATTCAGCTTCTCTACATGTCGTCTAGGTTGTGATTATGCCAAACTGTAATTGCTAGTCAATAAATGTTGTTATTTCCAATTTCTAATCTCCCAGTTGTGTAACCTGACCTGGTGGACTCTGACTGAAGAGCCACCAAGAGAAATCCCTCTACAGAAAGTGTCCTCTGTCAGCCACCGTAGCTCCCAGGGTAAGAGTATGAATGTTCACACAATTTGGAATAAAACTAGCCATCATGTGATAAAGACTCATCAACACGCACACACACACACACACACACACACACACACACACACACACACACACACACACACACACACACACACACAGCTGTAGTTATTGTATGAGTAACTTCCTGTGTCTGCTCCGTGTGTGTGTGTGTGTGTGTGTGTTGCAGGCTCTGAGCCAACCCGGCGGGTGACATGTGGTCAGGGGACAAGATTGTGTATCTCAGCGGCGCGGCGCTCAGAGGAGACTCCAACTCCCAGAGTTCAAAACATTAGAGAGAGTGTGTTCTGGTCCAGGTTCTGCTGTGTCAATGCACTTCTGGTGGTCAGCATCAACATTTTTCTCTACGCATACTTTGCCTGAGTATTTAACTTCCTGTCTCAACCTCCTGCCAATCTCTCCAAGAACATGGCGAAACAAACTGTGGGTTTTTTTGTACTGATTTTACATAAATCCTGCAGATGTAGCTTCAGGTTTTGTAAAATAATAACCCTTTTTAAACAAGAGAGCACAAACCTCTAACTACAAACCTCTAAATGAAGACAACGTTGAGAATAATCTGCAGCTGGATCCACATCCGTATGAAATTACCCATAATAACAGATAATTATGACATGGGAGAATTTAAGGAAGCTCAAAAGGTCACGAAAGAAAAAAACCTTTGAAAAGCAACCTGGTTTTAAAGTTTAAAAAGGCTATTGTACAAATTACAATGAAGCTTGTGGCTTGTAACAAGCTAACATGAATGTGCAGTTAGTGTTAGATAAAATATGACATCTAAATAAAAGGGCATAACACATCATCTTATATTGAAAGCTTACAAAATATATGGTAAGAATACATTTATGTGGTCTAGGTTGTATGTTTCTTCCATACTTTCTTTTAGTCTATATACCTAATAGTAATTATATAGTTATGTTTATGACGTTATGTTTATCAAGGTTTTGTGAACCCTCAGTTATCGTTCTAGTGTTTTCGTGCTATTGAGCTTGTTTATGTTGTTTGTAAATCAAAATTTCTCAACCTTTTTAATTTGTCATGTCAGTTTAAATATACACGCTTTGTGTTTTGTATTTAAGAGTGCATTTGGAGCATTTAAATGAAATAATGAGAAGTTTTACACTTTATTATTACACATTTATCAGACAGATTACAATTGAACAGAACTGAAATTTGTCTTTAACCCCTTTCTGCTTAACAACAGACTCGAGGGGCATTAACCCCAAGGTTGGGAAACGTCTATGTTGCTGTGCTTTTTCAATGGTGAAAGACTTATTATAAAGGACCTCATGTTAATCAAAAGACAAAAATATCCATCAAGTGTTTATTCTTGTGATTTCTCAAATAAATGTAAAGATATGTGCATCAAAGCTACAAGTGTTGGTCCAGTATTTATAACCAGATGATATCACTCTTTCTTTGTCTTGTTTACAGTTTACTTACGTTCAGGTTAGAGGCACCGACAAGATGGTAAAGCAAAGCAAACATGAAGTTCAATTTAAATTTAAATTAATATTTTCAATCCAAACTGTTGGTGAAGGAAGGTCATTAGGACTCAGAGGACGAGTAGAAAAGGTTCACTATAGGGCTGCACCACCGCATTCTTCTTCTTTGTCAAAACCTGGCACCTACATTACCCACAATGCAACGCGATCGTCAACATTCGGGCGTGTTATATGCTATGCTTATGTGGCCTTCAGCCTCAAGCAGAGATGAGGAGAATTTCTTTACAATTTTAAGTATTTATGATTAATGTTGTTAAATACAGAATTTCTCATGTGAAAATAACAAATGTAAGCTGATTGAGAAAATACACCTTCAGGCCCTTCAAATCAATATTGAAAATTTGCATTGATCAATTATTAGACCAATTGTTTCATTAACAGCCGGATCATTGGATAAGTAGGTTAAGTCGCTCCAGTTTGATATGTGGTCAGTGGTACAGCGGCTGGACGTATTCTGGCGGAAATATTCCTACTCTGCCTCGACAGCGCCCCCTCCAAGCCAGTGAGCTCGAGCAGTCCAGCAGGTCGATGACGTCACCACGCAGGAAGTGGAGGTTGGCGGTCTGAGGGGGGGTGTAGTCGCAGAGCGCATGAGCCAAACGGGCCTTCTGCACAGAGACAGAGCAAAGACATGAGACAGGTGTGTGTTTAAAAAAAAAGCTGTTTATGAGGTGTAACAAAGCTTACCCCCGCAACTGGTTCAGGGAGACGACGGGAGGTCTCTCTCCCGGGGTGAGGAGGGTGAGAGTAGAGGCGGGCTGAGGGGAGGGACTCCTGAGAGCTGCTTTTATAAGGGTTGGGGTATGGGTTACATTCTGGTTGGGACAGCAGGCGAGGGGACGCAGCAGGGTCTCTGAGGCAGACCACTTTCTCCACGGCGATACTGTGAGTCCTGTAGAAATCCACCAACCGGTTGAGGGAGCGAAACGACTCGTCCCAGATGCAGTACTGACCTCCACCCTCCAGCACCCGGAAATGCTCCACCCTCTCACCGTAGCTGCAAAATAAGAGAGGTGAGAAAGGTAAAGGAGATAAAGTCAGGTATGCATGCTCCTCAATGCACCAACAGCCAGTGAAGATGCAAGTTGTGTTTTTCTTCATTCCTCGACTTGTTTCCTCGGTTAGGAATTCATGCTCAGACGTGATGTGCATACCTCCGTCTGTGTGGGAAATGGGAACTATGCATCACAGGAGGTTTCCTCTCAGTCTATAATCTCATATAGCAACACACACACACACACACGCACATTCTGACATTTTATAGATTCAAGCTAAATAATCAGCACTGATTATGCTTTTTATTTTCTCAAATTGATCTTTTAGATGTGATAAGAAATTCTCTAGTGCCCAAATCGATGTCTTCTGATGTCTTGTGCAAAACCCAAAGATATTCCGTTTACATATGATGTAAAGCATAATTGTTTCAGATCACTTTTATTTGCATTTATTTACACAACTATCTGTATTTATATTTACACTATTTGTATTTCTATGTTTCTATTACTACATGTTTTTTATAGCACTATTGTCTTGCATCTTGTTCTGTATCTGTTTTTGTGTCTTGTTGTTTGCACCTTATGTTCATTATTGTGTTTGGCACCATTGACCAGGGAAACACAATTATTTCCTCCATGTACTGTACTGTATATAAATGGATGACAATAAAGTCTCTCTTACCTTAAATATCAAACAATTACTCAATTTATCAAGAAAATCTGCAGATTAACCAATAATTTGAATAATCGTTAGTTGCGATCCTAATCTAGACATTTCTGGGATATATTTCACAAAATACACTGTTGTGTATCAGCTATGATGCATATTTCATCATATTGGTATTTTGTTCTCGAAAGAAAAGAACATAATAGTACTATCCACTATGAAAACTCAGTATTGTAAGATGAGGAGACATAATGAGCTGCAGCTTCAGCCAACACCTTTTTGCAGTTTCACACTTTGTCTTCTATGTTGATTGCTACTGTGCTGGTTTGTTGGGAGTAACTAATTAGACTTAAATATATCATCATTTTAAATGAAACATGCACGATGTACTATTTACACTACTTCAGCTTGTCCCTTCCGTACACACCTGAAGATAATCACTTAATGACAATAAAAGGAGGGCGACACCACGACCAGGGTTAGTTTGCTGAGATGCGTTAGCCTGAGAAATGACTGACGACTTGTCGTGAATAAGTTGGTCAGCAGTGGTTTCTTCACAACAAGAAGGTCATGAGTTAGATCCCATCTTCCTTCTGCATCCGTTTCCTCCCACAGTCCAAAGAAACGCAGTTATGTTAGTTAGAGACTCTAAATTGCTTGTGTGTGTTTGGCTGTCTACTGCATCGTCACACTGATATACTACAATGTGTTTAAAATATACATGCGTCATAATAATGTTCATGGTTTACAGTGGTATACAAGAAATCAAAGTTTATTTCATATGTTTTATGCTAACAGGAAATGATACAATTCATTCACCAACTGATCAATGGCCAACTGGCCTTTCTCACAGAAGATGTTTTGACAGAAGGAATTTCACAGGTGTTACTAATAACACTAACGATGGCTCTGTTGCGTTCAAGTGTCCTCAGTAAAAGAGTGACAGTGAACCAGCCTGCGTGAAACCGTAACCCTTAAATCAAAGCAGCTGTCATCAATCATTTTATTATTTACACCTGTGCTTTTTCTACTGTCACAAGATGTCCGCTCATCAAACTGCTGTTAAACAAAGAGACAGCAATATGTTTTTCCCCAAAACATGCCGTAATATTTTTTTTAAATGTTTATATCTGTGGTGCTCCTGGCACTGTTTGACAAGTACTAACAATTAATTAAAACTATTAATGAAATCATATATTTTTTTCCCAGCTGTAAGCAGCTCCACCATTTTCTTTTTTGGCAATAACAATTAAACAATAATGTCCATCAAAAGCACAGACACAAATCTAATTCTTCTTACAGTATGCACACAGACTGTTTTAAGTGAACTTTATTTTTCCTGTTTTAACAAGCTATAGAAATACACTCAAAACATATTGACAGTTACATAGTTACATAGTGTGGAACTGGTACAAAGGATGGATAGTTCAGAGGAAGTTCACATGCTTTCTATCTCACATGACACATTTCTGTGTCATGATGTCATAACGAACTGCAGACGTGATGAGGATTGAAAGAATATCTTTTAATGAGTGGCTGCAGTTTACAACTATAAAAACACCTCTGTTATGACTCCTGTGAACTCTTCTTCAACATTATCACCCTCTGTTGATCTTTCTGAGGATTACACTCTGTGCATGAGTTTTGAGTATGTGTGCATAAATAAAGAAAACCTCTTATCTCCCACCCCTTGCAGGCAGACAGATGTTGTGCCTTAAAACATGTGTTAAACAATATGTGCACGGTATGTAAGTGCATGTCTGTGGCACGTGTCGATTGCATAATTTACCTGTGTTTAATTCAAGACAGTGGTGTTACGCAATGCCCTGATTATTGAACACATTTAATTTACCCTCAATGATTAAATGTGTCCCACGTCACTTTGGTGACCCAAATTACATCTCCTCGCGCACACACACACACACACACACACACACACACACACACACACACACAC